CCCCCCCCTTGCTGTGCCCCCCCCTTGCCGTGCCCCTCGGCAGCCCTGGTTCCAGGGGCAAAGCACCTGCCTGAGTTCCCCTGTTGAAACTGGCACTTTTGGTCTGATTTAGCAGAATCCCTCCAGTTTCCCACAGTAGTTTGTACTTCTGCAAAATAATTGTCTTGCTGTATGTCCTTAAAGGGCAAAAATCTTCTCTAGGAATGTTTAAGAGGCATCTGGATCTGGTTTAGGGGTCACAGCAGTGACAGATTAATGGTTGGATCTTAGAGGTCTCCTCAGAGGAATTCAGCCAGATAGGATAACTTAGTTTCAGATTTATTCTGTTTGTTATAACTTGAACACTTTTCTGTGCAGACAGGCTTTTGAAGTTATCACTGTGTTGCTCAGTGAACAACCAGATGCTTTAGATACAATGAGGTATTATTGAGACCTTAGAGAGAGAAGAGAAATCCACAAGTCACTGCAGTGGTGCCACTTCTGAGCAATTGGCTACTGCCAAAAGGCCACAAAGAGTCAGGATCCCTAAAGTGGGGACCCCTTTACAACTTTGACTTTTTGGTGTGATGTGGAGACAGGTAAACCTGAGACCACTCCTGTGTTGGCAGGATCTTAGTCCATTATATGCTGTTGGTGTTTCTAGACAGTTCTTTGTCTCTTGTCTCTGCCTTCTGGACTGTTTTCAAATAAAGATATCTGAAATAATGTTTTTTGTGTGAGTGATAGCCATGAAGCTGAAGTTCTGTGTAGCTAGTATCCACATTTGGGGGTGTTTAATCAGAGCTGATGATGATTACAACAGAAGAATTCGGAATGGTAATCTATTTGATTTTTCTTTTACTTTTTTTCCCCCATTTGATCCAAGTGCTTTGGATGTAAGTGTGCTTGTCTGGGTATCATCTCCTTTCAAGCCACCTTGCAAGAATGGACTGGGCTGTAGAAACATCACTGAGGTGAATACCTTGTCCTTTTTGCAGAATTGGTTTTTGATCTTTCTATGAGAAAAATACATAAGTAGGATCTTTTCCTGATTCCCTGGTTGAGAGCTGGTCTCTTCCTTTTTTCCAAGGAATATTTTGTCCTGCGGATTTAATTGCATTGTGAGGTTTGAAATTTTAAACTGTTTGAGGATCCAAGTGATGGTTTTCATCTCTTCCTGGTCCCTGCCAAGGGTTTGTTTAATTTAGGATTCTGCAGGATGCTCCCAGCACCTGGATGTGCTGTTTTGCAGTGGCATTAACTCCAACTAAGGTGAATTGTTTTGCTCTTCCCACAGGAATTAGAGGTATTTCGGAAGAGACAACCACTGGAGTTCACAACCTGTACAAGATGAAGGCCAATGGGACCCTGAAAGTGCCAGCTATCAATGTTAATGATTCTGTCACCAAGGTAATGCAGCTAGAGCCCTCTGCTCTGTTCTCTGCTCAGTTTGGTGTTGGGATGTTGTCATTCCCGTGAGAATATTCCTTCTCTTGCTGAGCTTTTCCTGACCTGGTTCTGACCAGAGACTCCACCATATCCTTGAGGTGGTTTCTGCTGGGACATGCTATGGTAAACACTTGCTTTCAGAACATCAGGGGCTTTTTGTACCTAAGGACATGTATTCTCCTGCCTTTTAATAGTGTGGAAACCCCTTTAGGAGTCCTGGCTCCTGGGGACTGGCAGCTCCTGGGACAGCAGGAGCTTATACCCACAGACAGATGTTGGGTACCAGCTGGAAGAGAATGTGACCTGCATGGGCTTGTGGCTGGCAAAGGTTGGTTGGTTTGTCAAGCTCTGGTTGATCTCTGAGCAGCAGTTGGAAAGGAGAAGAGAAAGGCAGGAGCTATTTATCCCTTGCTTGTCTATATTGCGGCTTCCTATAGAAACACTGGGCAATTGAGGGATGAGGAGAAATGGTGTTTAAAGGGTGTTGGTGCTTTCGGGATGAGAAGAATTACAGTGGGAATTTCAGGCATACTTAGGGTTTATGCAACTAGATGGTTTTAAGTCTAGCTGCTGAATCTGTTTCAAGTTCTCATATGAACATTATCCCGTTGGGCTTGGCAGTTCTCAGGGGCTGTTTGGCCTTTCTCTGCAGTTTGCTGTCTGAGGAGCATTTCCTTTCTGCTCACTATGATGCATCTGGCATTTTTACTTTGTAGCTAGTGGGCTGGAATCCAGCTGATCTTGGAAGGAGCTTGTTTCTTAACATCCTTTTCACCTAGATTTGTGCCTCTTGCATAACAACTATTAGTGTTGTTTAGTAGATTGGAAATTCAGATGTTGCTAAAAAAGCCTCTTGAGAGGATTTGGGTTGAGCTTATATTATCTAGTGCCAAACAAGTACTTACCTTCAAGTACTGTTTGGTGTTTATGGAGAACAAGACTTGTACTAACCACAGTTACAGATCTCTGGGAAGATGTGCAACTGAGCTGACAAATTCTGCTCTCCTGAGGGAAACCTTATGGCTCTCCATAACTCCCTGGCAAGAGACTGTAGCCAGGTGGGGTTCAGCCTCTTCTACCAGACAACTGGAAGTGCTCGGGTCTTTTGCAAAGGAAAAGGTCTTTTGCAAAAGAAAAGGTGTCCCGCCCCAGTGGCCAGGGTCCTTTGTCTCTCTTAAGTATCCGAGCATCTGATAACATGTATGGGGAAAAATTCCTTAAAGCAACAGAGGAGCTCCTACCAAACCCTAACAGGCACTTAGAGCTCTGGTTTAGTTGTCAAGGTGGTGATTTGCCACAGGTTGGACTTGATGATCTTGGAGGTCTTTTCCAACCTAAATGATTGCTGTATTTTCAGTTGGTGCCAGGTTCCTGTACTAGTGTTTGGAGAGAGAAGGCAGGCACCAGGCAGTTCTGCCCTTCCCTTTTGCCACTCAGATGCCTATTTGGGTGGGACAGATGTCTACATTCAGCTGCTCTCTGGCCTGCATGGCAGTGCACAGCACCTGGAAAGCTTTGATTTCACAGTGGCAATGCACAGTACCTGGAAAGCTTTGATTTTGCAGCAGGGGGGTTTGGTGGTGAGGTGTCAAATCTGACCATGCTATTTTCCTGCATAAGAAGGCTTATACTGCAAGGAATGTCTGCTGGAGGACTAGGAAGGAAGGTTACCAGCTGTTACTAGCTTTGGAATTTGAAGGTTTGGTAAAAACTATCTGAACTATTAATGGCAGATATGGCTGTGATTAGACTTAGAGGCACTGAGTCAGGAACTTCTGGATCTGAGGTATAACTTGCTACACATGAGTCCTCAGCCACTCCTAGGCTGGGAGGGACATGCTGCTCTTCCTTCTAACTTGCTCAGATAATGCATTGGAGTAGGAGCAGCAACAGTTTGAAACATGCGCTTTGCCTTTGGTTTTTATTATATAGAAGGATTTTACTGTTGTAAGGTGTAGATGGAAAACCAAACTGTAACATCATCTTACACATGTTGTATGGCACCAGCAAGGTAGGTCCCATTTTGAAAGATCAGTGTTCCTGCTCACAGAGAGCCACTGCAGGTTGGGGTTGGGAGGGACATTAAAGCTCACCTTGCCCCCACCCCCTGCCATCACTAGACCACCTTCACTAGACCAGGTTGCTGCCTGTAAGTATTCAAGTCTTAATCATAGAATCAAGAATGTTAAGGGGTTGGAATGGAGCTTAGAGATCATCTAGTCCCAATCCCCTGTCCTGGGCAGAGACACCTCCCCCAGACCAGGTTGCTCAAGGCTTTAGCCAACCTGGCTGTGAACTTGCTCATAGCAGCTGGTGCTACCTGTATTTGTGAAACGAAGCAGGATTGATGCCCTGAGGCTGTAGAAAGCACAGGGAGGCTTTGAACCAGAATTTTGGCTGGGAATGGTGAATTCTTAGTATTGCTTCCTTGGGAAGCATAGCACAACATTAGTAGCCAGATTGTAAGTTCTTGACTTCTGCAGCTCTCCAGGTAATTCAATCTGTTTGTCCAGCCCCTCCTCCTGGTCAGAACAAAGGGCCCAAGGAGAATAAGGAGAAGCATTACAAAAGTCAGTACAGTAATGTGGGTTTCTGAGTTCAGGAGGAGTTGCAGTAGTGAAGTATTATTTGACATCTGACTTAGCAGGGCAATTTTGGTTTGGGGGCCTGGCTGTTAAGTACATGTGCCAGTGTTAAAGCAGGAGGATGTTGTGCCATGGGGCATTAGGAGATGAAATCCAGGAATCTGTGGTTGCAGTGAGCAGTGTTATGAGGGGCTCTGGATTTTTCTTGATCTGTGAGCAGTGCTGGGGTCTAGCAATGTCAGGGTAAGTGTTCCTGGGGGAGGATGCAGTTTTGATTTTCCTGGGCTGCAGGATCCAGTTTGTCATAGTTGAGGTGTGCAACTTGCTGCTTCTGCAGGTGCATGTGTCTTGCAAAGGTAAGATGGTGTGCTGACCCATTGGCCAGGTGTTTTGCCCTCTTGTGGCACTTGGTTCAGTTCATCGCCTGATAAACAGCAGCAGAGAACTGGTGAACATATAGCTAAGGAACTCAGGGCTAACTCTGTGCACAGGAGTGGTTTGTGCTTTTAGTTGATAAATTCAGGTTACCTCTAAGCAAGTTTTTCACACATCCAAGGCCCTGGAGTCAACACAACATATTTATGAAATGCTTCTCACCAGGTCTGTGTTGAAGCCTGTGTCTGGTATCACTTCACAGGCTGAAACTGGATAAATAAACACATCAAACCAGGTTGTCTTCTTCCCATCCCTCATGGTGGTTAAAGCATTTAGCGCTGACTCTCAGCCTCATTTGTAGCGTTTGCACGTGTGACTGAAATTGGGAATCAAACCCTTTAATACCAGTGTAGTATTAAGAAGCAGCATTATTTATTCCAGTGCCAGATTCATGGGGGGTGCCCCTCCAAGCTGCATCCGAACTAGCCAAACTTTTGACGAATTGTACATTTCAGAAAACAAAGAGATTAGTGCTCATTGCTCACAAGTTACCTAACTCTTACTAGTTAGTATTCTATCCCCTACTGGTTAGTGAGTCTCGCTTTTATGCTAATTAGTCCATTTTGGACTTGATGGCTTCTTGGGGGTTTTGGATGGTCTCTGGTGGTCCCTTGTGATTGTTGAAAAGATGTCCATTCGTGTCCTTTCCATGAACTTTGAGTCTTCTTTCCATATATGGTCTTGGCTTAGCTTGTTATCTTGTTTGCAATTATGAAGTTCTTTGTCTTGGTCTTGGTTGACTTCTGCTGGCTCCTCTGCACTGCTCCAGGATGAGCTGGTCACAGATGTGAGAATTTATGTCCTTGGGTGCATTCTTGTCTGAGGCCCCTTGCAACAACTCCCCCTTTGAGACTTACTCAGACAGTTAGTCTTGGATACGTTTCTTCCACCAATTAACGCTACTCTACTAATTTTGTAACATAATTAAGAACTTTGAAAGCAACAGAACTACTTGAAAGTCATGTGTGACAAGAGGAGGGTGCAAATAGTACCAAACTGTAAATAATGTAATCTGGGGCATGTTTATTTTTCTTTCTATGCATTCTAGGCCTGCAAAGCCACAGAAGGAGTTAAGTATGTGATTCCAGAGGGTTTACCTAGAGACAGGACGCTATGCTCTTAGATCCTCTGGTATCACACAAGTCCATTTTCTTTCTCTAAGAAAATGTCACTTGAATCACTTTGTTTCAAAACTGTTCCTTTTTCTTCCTCAGAGCAAGTTTGATAACCTGTATGGCTGCAGGGAGTCCCTCATTGATGGCATTAAGCGTGCCACAGATGTGATGATAGCTGGGAAGGTGGCAGTGGTGGCAGGGTACGGTGACGTGGGCAAGGGCTGTGCTCAGGCCCTGCGCAGCTTTGGCGCCAGAGTCATCATCACTGAGATCGACCCCATCAACGCCCTGCAGGCAGCCATGGAAGGTGAGAGCATCTGATGGGACTGTGTGTGTCTACAGGTCAGGGTAGAGCCAGAAATCATAGTGGGGTAAGAGGGTGTCAGTTAGTTTCAGCCCTGTCTCTGTTGAGTTAGAGGTGACTCCAGTTTAACTGTAGGGATTCTTTCCTTGCAGTTAGGGAAGGGGTTGATTCTACTAGAGGCCTTGAAGATGTGTTTGGAGTTAAGGAGATGGAGATGACAGTAGGGTAAGGCCCCATTTTGTAATGCTGTAAGCCTGGTTTTGAGGGGGTTTGTTGTCCTCTAACCTCTGGTGTGGGAGAAGACTTCGCTGGAATATCTCTGCATTAAACCACATGGCCTTACACTCAGTAGATGCTTCTGGAGAACAATTCCATGCTCTCTGCTCTTCCAGCTGTGTTCCATCTCTTCTGTGGATGCCTCATGTAACTATGCTCCTTGGTACCAGTTTATCCCATTTCTATTCAGACCTGAGGAGAACCTGCAGGTCTTGTGGGGGCACTTTCTCTTCCAAACTTGACCCCTTGAATCGAGTCTGAGTGCTGTGCCAGATACCACACCTATGGATATTAGACATTGAATGTATAGATCCACAGGTTGAAAACAGGTGAGGGATGGATATATTCGTGCTATGTTGGTATTTAGTAAGACAAGTATGCCGCTATCATGCATCGTCCATACTCAGGTGTTGGCACAATTTTCCGTATTCTTTCTCCATCCTTTTCTGCTTCTAGTATTGTATCCCATTTGCTTATAAATACTGGTGGTTGGGTAGAGGACTGACTTCTTTTCTTTCCAGGTTATGAAGTTACAACCATGGAGGAGGCCTGCAAAGAGGGCAATATCTTTGTCACCACCACTGGCTGCACAGACATTGTGCAGGGCAGGTAGGTTCTAGCCACTTGCTTTAGTGTAAACATACCTGTACAGTTAACTTGATCTTTTTAAATACAATCATAGCTGGTCAGCAGTACAGTGAGGGTTAGCACACAGTCTCGTTTCTGGGCATCAGAATTTAGCGTGGATTTAGGGAGACACTGGGACTTTGATCTTGCAGTTCTGCTGGATGTTGTCACATTGCAATTGTTCCTGGCATGTAATGATGGGGGAGGGATAGATAGATTTTTGGAGAATGAGAGCATTAGGGCTCAATTCTGTGCTAGACCAGATAAATATGAACAGATGAGGAGGCAGGTAAAGTTTGAAAGTGATTCCATCTGTGAATACACATAGCAACCTTGAAAGCAGCCTGCTCTCAGTAAACTGCCCTGCAGTGTTTTGTTACTGCTCCTTAGATCTCAGTTTATAGCCCCAACTCCATACAAACTCCTTTCTTCCTTTACCACTGTGTCTGGATATGTAGTGGAAAATCAGATTAGGTGGGAGGAGGTAAGGCCATTAGTCTCTAGACTAGTCTCTACGGATGTAAAACTGCTGGAAACTTCAAAGTAATGAAGAAGATAACTTCTGTGTAGGAAGGAGAATAGCTGCAGCTACTTGTTTTGACCAATTAAACCAAACAGTATAACTTTCCATACTGGGAAAATATTTTCTCTCCAATAAACTCTTACATCCTTGGGAAGTGTTTCCCTGGAAGCTTGAGATGTTGTTCCAATAGATTTCACATGCCTGGCACATATAGACCCACACACCTTGTGGGCATCAAATGCAGTCAGTGTTCTCCTTGAGCAGAGCTGTGCATCAGAGCATCTGCTGCTGCTGCTGAGGGAGAAGCTTTTTTTGTGCCTTAACTTTTGATACAACTGCTTTTCTTTTGCAGGCACTTTGAGCAGATGAAGGATGATGCCATAGTGTGTAATATTGGCCATTTTGATGTGGAAGTTGATGCCAAGTGGCTGAATGACAATGCAGTGGAGGCAGTGAATGTTAAACCTCAGGTGAGACAGCTTTTGCACAAGCTCTCCTACAAAGGAGCAACAGCTACTCAGAGGCTGTTTCTAGAGAGGGAGGTATTTCTCTTGGTGTGTTTCTAGCTTTCTTGGAAGCCAGTGTTGCTCAGTCCACCCAAAAATACCCTAAGGGCCATTGGGAGGCTATGGGAGGAAATAAGAAACCAAAGGAAGCAGAACACTAAAACCCTTGAGAACAGCTGCAATATTACTTATACCAAACATTATATTTGTAGACCAAACTTCTACAAGGTGGCAGTTTTGAAGGCTGAATTTGTTGGTCTGATCAGAATGCAGACTCTGCTCTTCCTAGATGAAACTGGAACAAGCTGCACATCCTAATCATGTGTTGGGCTTAAAGCAGTTGGTTCCAGCCAGTGCCCAAGTGTACATAGTGATCTCTGGTGAGAGGTGCCTGGTGTGGATGAATATTTCTCCATGTGTCCTGCTTCCTGGGCAGACAGGAGCCTTAACCCCTTCATGGTGGTTGTGTAGACAATGATTTGCATCAAGTACATTCCTTAGGGGAAGTCAGCTGTGATGTTTGGGGCATGGTGAGGAGGTATGTAAATGTGCTGGCTTGGATAGCCCTGATCAATGAAACATTGGCTATGGCATTGTTGAAAACAATGTTTTCAACAATGCCATAGCTCACAAACAAGTTAGGTGATGAATACAGAGCAGACCATTAGAGACACTGTAAAACTCAGGAACGGATCCCATAAACTGCCTGGTCGCTGATAGGCACTTGGTCACAGGAAGCTCTTTGCTCTGTACTGCTCTGCACCAGAACAGTGTTGGTCTTAAATGAATCTCAAGGGAATGTCTTTTGGGATTCTAAGGTTGGAAAAAATCCACACCTCTTTGTTTTCAAAGGTTTTTTTTAAGTCAGAGATTGAAGCCTCAGGAAAGCCTGTCTGGAGCTCTGCCAAACTCAGGCTGCTCTTCCAGAATTGGTGGCTTCAGTTTGGAAACCTGTGTTGTGGAGAGTGTGTGGGCAGACTAGACAAGATATTTTACCCTTGCTCAGCTTGCATTTCCACTAGGGATTTGCACAAGGAAAAGCTAAACATTTCAGCTTTTCAGTTGTGTGTCCTAAAGCAGAGAAACAAACCTAAACTGCATCAAAACTGGTTTGGAACACCAGCACTGAGGGAGAACATCACGTAAAGCAAACCAGGCTTTATCTGCCTTGGCATGGGACTCTTAGTTACCTGTTGAAGAGGGAGTGTTATTGCTGATGGCAGGATTCTGGGACAGGTTTTCTATGCTTTAAAAACACCACACCCAAACATACCTCTTAGTGGATCTCAATCTGCCCTTCTAGTTTTCATAACTCCCCTGTAGTTTATTGGCCACCCACATCAAACTCTTCCTGAGCCCTTGTGAGAGGCTTTTCAGTTTCTTGGGATACTCTGCAAGGCCTCAACCAGATCCAGAGTTATATATTCAAGTTCTCACTGTGGTCAGGTTTGTTCTTGCCCATGTGCACTTTGCTCAGCAGCTCTTGTCCTGGAGGAGCCTGCATCTGGTCGCCTAGTTCTGGTAGCTCCAGCTGGTTGGAAACTATAACTGTGACTGCTCAAAGAGTAAACATCGCTGAAGGCTAAATTGGATGTTCATATGGTGACATATAAAGTACCTGCACATAGACATTCAACATGTCTCTGAAAGTACATGTGGAAAGTTGTGGCACTGTTGGCAGAGGCAGTGGCCCCATTTCTTTAATCTGCATTGAGGAGCCAGCCTGGCACAGGTGTGTTGGGGGCAATGCGGTGTAGGGGATTCACAGAGTCAATCAGATTGAAAAACCCTCTGAGATCAAGTCCAGCCTATGACCTAACACCATCGTGTCTCTAAGTGCCATGGCCTGTCTCTCCTTAAACACCTCCAGGGGTGGTGATTCCACCACTTCCCCTGACAGCACATTGCAGTGTCTAATCACCCTTTCTGGGAAGAAATTCTTCCTAATATCTAACCTAAACCTCCCCTGGTGCAGCTTGAGACTGTCCTCTCTCCTGTCACTAGTTGCCTGGAAGAAGAAACCAACCCCACCTGGCTTACAACCTCCTTTCAGGCAGTTGTAGACAGTGATAAGGCCACCCCTGAGCCTCCTTTTCTTTAGGCTAAACCAGATATTAATATATCTGGAGTTTTATATGTGAGTTTTCATACCTGGGACTTGTGTACCAGTTATGAAAACTGTAGCAAGTTTCTGGTTTAAATAACTTTTTCAAAAGAATTGGGGTCTAGGTCATCCATGTGAATGTGCCTAGAGGTAAATTTGGTCTTGCCTGGCCATTCTACATGTTTGAAGCTTTAGTGAGGTGAGGTTGGCCCAGGGAAAGCTGGTCCCTGACTCAGGTTAGTACTTAAGTTCTGTTGACTTGTAGCAGTGAATCTGAAGCACTGTTAAGTGGTTTCAATCTCCAGCTGACCTCTAGTGTTGGGTAATTTAATGCTCTGTGTATCTCCGCTGTGCTGGTGACATACCCTGTGCTCAATTTTGTATCTGGATTTCTTGTCCCTAAAGACTTCAGAGCTGCAAGATGAGGTAGGGTGTTAGGTGAACCAGTCATGTCTAAGGGCTTCCTTGTTCTTAATTTTCCTTCTCTGTGCCTGATTGCCACTTTGTCTGGGTAGCTGGGCAGGAGGGAGCTAATACACATCCTAAAACTACTCATTCAAAAAGGAGAGAGCCAGGCCTGGGAGGCAAAATGTGACTTTATAGGTTCAAATTCCAAATTGTTAGAATTGCTCTTACACTGAAATCTGGGAAGAAATGACCAGTTTGCTACTTGGGCTGTTGCTGGTTCCTCAGTTTTGTTCCTCAGATTTATCCAAGGGCCACTTCTGTGGTCACCATGTCCCCAGTCTTCTGGGCACCTCAAGGGCAGGTCAGCCTTCTCTTTTAAGGTGTAAAATTTTGCATTTATCCAAAGAGTAACATGTTTTTCTCTCAGTGTTCTGGGTGAGATGTCCAATATAATGCCAAGTACTAACTCTAATTTGTAATAAACTTGGTAGCTTTTTTTTCTGTATCCTATGGCAAGAAGGGAATATAGTAGAAAAGCAGAAAACTCTGACCTTCTATGAAGATATCTATCTCTTGATCAGGGGATTAATGCCAGAGCTGAGGGTTGCTAGACTTCAGCTGGAGGCACAGAATGTGTCCAGCATGGTAGTTTGAGTACCACCACATGGCCCCCAGTGAGCTGGTGTAAGAGATGTTTAGTACTTGGGAAAGAATCTTATTGTGCCATTCTGACCCATCAGTTGTTTTCAAGGGCAATTAAGGAGGAAATAGGCTTATTACTGAGAAGCTACCACGTTGGTTTGAATCTGATCTTGCACTGCTTGTGTTTGGGTATTGGAGGCTGATGAGTAGCACAAGTTCAACTCTAGCAGGGAAGGAAAGGTCAAGATCAAACTTTGGCTCTGTAAAGAAATAATTCACATAGCATGGTGTGGAGGGAAGTGCTAAGTAGCCAGAAAGTTCAGAGAGCTAAATGCTGATGGGAAAAGGGAGTTAGGTTTGTAAGTGTAGAGAGGACCCGAATGGTTGGGGAAGTTGAATTCTTTTCCTGTGGCAATTTGGTAAGCTTACAAATCAGCTGCCCATAGGAAATGTGTTTTCACTACAGTTTTGTTTTTATTTCTGTGCAAAGACCTTAGTTTGCATTTTCTGTGTGATGTGAATGACTCCTGTCAGCAGATTGTTGAAGGTTCCATGCACAAACCAGCAGCTCTCCAGGTGCAGCTTGTGTAGGTATTACATGAATATAAGATTTTGACACACAATTCAGAGTTCAGAACTGCCACCTGGCAGTAGTTTAATCTGTGAATATGATTGGTATAAATAATACTGTAGCTGTTCTCAGGGGTTTTAGTGTTCTGCTTCCTTGGTTTTGTTACTTCTTTCCATAGTCTCCTGATGGCCCTTAGGGTATTTTTGGGTGGACACTGGTGGTTCACAATGGAGAATCAGCATAAATAACAAGTACCTTGCTGACTGCTTTTGGGCAGGAAAAATTAATACTTATTTAGGACTGTTGTTTGAGGTGGTTACTGCATGTGCTGTCCTGAAATCACAATCATGTGTTAGGTGAATCCAAGAAGGAGAAAATAGTGGTGGGGCAGATGGGTGGAGGCACAGATGGGCTCTGAAGACAAAACAGCTCTTCTGAAAACAAAACAGGTTTCTGTTGGTTTCCTCTTGCGATCTCTGCACAAAGATGGTTTATCAGAAGATGGTGGTGTTGCAATTAAAGCTTCATCCCATGTGGCTTTAAACTTCCAGGCAGAAGCTTGAAGAATAAAATTGCAAGTGATGTGTTTTGGTTATATTAAATAACTTCTAGGCTCTAAAGTAAATATAGCTCTGGGGATGGAGCCTTTCAGATGTTGCAGCTACAGTGCTGTGACAGCAGGTGAGAAATGGCCTGAAGCATTAGGCTTTTTTAAAGCTGGTAATCTTTTAAGTATTTTCAAAATGCTTTCCTCCCAAGTGCTTGGTATGACATGAGCAATAAACACCAGTTAATCCTGAATATTCTTGTGATTTACAGGCCGTATTGGTGTTTCATTAGTTACTTAATATTGTAACCTCCTAGAGGGTGAAAGAAGAGCTAGTGAGTGGTGCAGAGGAGAGTTAACTTGAACATTGCAGATGCTCAGAGTGGCCCAGACAGCTGAGGCACATATTAAGTCACACTAGTTAATCATACAATCATAGAATTCTATTCATATTTCCTGACTTCTGTGGCATTCTCATACAGCTGAAGACTTGTTTCCTTAGCCCACCTGAGACTTGGTTCTGTGTACAGAGTCCTGTTGTCCCCACTAGAGCTTGGGGATGACCATGTCCAGGGGGATGAGCACTGCCCTAGTCCTGCTGCCACACTCTGCTTGATCCAGGCCAAGATGCCCTTGGCCTTCTTGGTCACCTGTGCCCTCTTTTGGCTCACACTGAGCAGGCTGAAAACTCTGGCTCTTACCCTGTGTTGGATGTAGGAGGTCTGTGCTGTTGCATGCAGAGGTGTTCCCTTTGCTCTCCAATCTCCATACCCATTGTGACCACTAGGCATGTTTGAACTGGGTTTTATGGCAAGCAGCATGTTCCCACCAGAGCTGGTTGGGACAACAAGCCTGTGAAAAAGCCAGAAGACTTGGCTAGCTGGTTAAATACAGTGCAAGTGCCACAATGTGGATGTGTTGTGAAGCCCAGGATGGCTACAGGCTTCCCAAACACTGGCTGGAGCTGAAGGAGGGGTGTCTCAAGTGGAATTCAGGTGTGTTGCAAGCCCACAGCTGAGGAAACCCCTCCAAGCTTTGGAGGTCTGCAGTGCTCAGCACCTTACAGGGCCCTGCTGTTGCTGTCCCCATGCAGGTGGATCGCTACACCCTGAGGAACGGCCGACACATCATCCTGCTGGCTGAGGGACGCCTGGTCAACCTGGGCTGTGCCATGGGCCACCCCAGCTTTGTCATGAGCAACTCCTTCACCAACCAGGTGCTGGCACAGATTGAGCTCTGGACCCACAGTGATAAATATGCTGTTGGAGTCCATTTTCTGCCAAAGAAGGTGAGTTAGAGTAACAAAAAGGTGCTTGTAAAGAAGCAACTTCAGGTGTGGTCATGCACATTTGGTTTGTTTGTGTCTGAGTTTTTCCTGCTAAATGTTGTTGCAAGGAGCTTCTGTGCCTCAGAGGATGTTTTGCGTGTGCTGAGGCTAAGGTGAGCTGGTTTTTGTATAGATCTGGGACTTGCCTGTCCTATGGTAGGAATATCCAGGTGCTGGGAAGCCCTGTGCTTCCTCTGGGGAGTCACGGAGCTTCTCCCAGCCAAATCGTTCCTTCTGCTGACTGTCAGCATTCACAGCAAGCCTTCACATGCCTGTCCAGCAGCAACATCCAGTGTGGTAGAGTTGAAGCTGGAGTGAAACTAAATCACTTTTACTGTGGCTGATATTCTGGGTCCCATTTGTACCTGAGAGAGCTTATCACAATTTGGTCCTAATAGCTTCACCAAATATTCGTGACAGATTTCCTTGTGTTTCCCTTTAAACTTATCTCTGCATTCTTTGTTCTTGGAAAAATCTGGATCATGTCACAACTGGCAAATTCCTTTTAGAAAACTAACTTGATTTTAATTTTCCAAATTAAGTCTTGAGAATTTGAGATGGTTCATGGCAAAAGATGCTGGAGTTAAATCCCACTGCCTTTAAAATGCAACCAGGTGTGGAAGTAAATGTGAAGAGTTTCCATTTGGGAAGTAGAATGTGTGTGATTGGCCTTACTTATGAGGTGGTTACTGAAGGACTTAAGCTTCCAAAACTCTCCATTCAGGATCAAGAAAAGCATTCCAGCAATGCAGTGTAGGAGTTGATCAGCAAACTGACACATCTTCCAAGGAACAGTTTTATTGACAGTTCTCTCTCAAATGGTGGTGTTGCTAATGAACTGTGGTTTCTTCCTCTGCCTTAACATCAAATTGTAGTAACACACTGGAACTGGAAATGAGAAGTAATGCCCAGGGCAGTTGCACAGAAAGCTGCATGTTAGTGGAACACATGGCAATGATCTCAGGTTCATACACTGTGACGGAACACTCTTGACCCTCAGTACCTCACAGAGGGCTTGATTCAAAGAATAAAGCAGTTGCCTTGTCAGAACCAACAACAGAAGAGCATTCTCTGTTAATTTTCTGGGCTAGTGTTTTTTGTTCCTCAGTGTAGTTGCTTTGAGGTTCAAATATGAAGCTGAAGAGTTACCATGTACCCTACAGTGCACTTTGTTTGACTGCAAGAGTATTGCTTGGATCAGCTCTTCCAGGGCACACGTTTGTGCAGTGTGTGTTCCTGCAAATCCAGACACTCTTGTCTCTGGTAGCATCAAATCTGTCCATGCTCAGCTTTGATTTTTCCGGTGAGAATGTCAACTTACCTTCATCTAAATTTGTGTACCACTTTATCCCCAAGCTGAAGCAGCTGGGGAACAACTGGTCTCTGCTGCAGTTTGAAAGCCTCAGCTGGGAGTTGTCCGGGGGGACTCAGCTCCTTTTCAAGGGAGTTCAATCTGTCTTAACTTTGCTGGAAATACACTTATGAGAGCTTAATTTCTCAGTCTAGTTAATTAGAAAGGAATCCAGTTTTAAACTTTTTTCTAGCAGTATCTACTAAGCTTAAATACTTGTTTTTCTTCTAAACTCAATCCTTCCAGCTTTTCTTTCTCAAATCCTTTGTAGTGGTTGGAGCTTTCACAGTTCACTTCCACATTCTTCAGCTTCATTTTGGGTTTCTAATTTAGCCTTGTGCACCTTTGACTGTTATGATTCTCAAGAGATTATCAGCTCCATACCACTGTGAGCAGGTTGAGCTGCAGTGAATTATACTCTGTGCAGATGCAGCTGTTTATGTGGTTCACTGCAATAGGATTACTTCAGAACAGTGGCTTGTTACCACACTCCCTCTGAGGGGGAAATCTAGGACTAGTTATTGACTCATTTTAGGCCATGCTGGTTCACCCAAGTTGAAGGTCTGACCATTGATTGGATTGTTCATTTACTGCCATTCACATGTAGAGCAACCTCTCACATCTTTTTAACTAGCATGGGGAAATATCACTAGTCTTTGCCATGCTGCTGGGATTGACACCTCTTGTTTCCTTACAAACAATTGCTTGTGTTTTGCAGGAATTACACATGGTCAAACTCATCCTTCTGTTGTAACTCAGCAGCACTTGATCCCTACTTGTGTTCTCTTTTCTACTTCTGAATGGCTGTACATCCCCCTCTGACACAGCAGCTCATTTGCCATCCTAGTTTGGGCTTTTAACTGTCTTCCAACTTAGATATTTTTCAGTCCCTTCAGCCTATGTCCTACAGCTCACTTTGGCTTTATTTATGAAGACAATGCCAACAGATCACAGAATCATAGTATGTTCAGGGGTTGGAATGGAGCTTAGAGATCATCCAGCCCCAACCCCTGCCCTGAGCAGGGACACCTCCCACCAGAGCAGGTTGCTCAAGGCTTTAGCCAACCTGGCTGTGAACACTGCCAGGGCTGGGGCAGCCACAGCCTCCCTGGGCAACCTGGGACAGTGTCTCACCTCCCTCACAGCAAAAACTTCTGCCTAATAATTAATCTAAATTTCCCTCTTTGAATTTCTCCCCATTGCTCCTTGTCCTGTCACTGCAGTTCCTAACCAAGAGTCCCTCTGCAGCCTCCTTGGAGCCCCTTCAGCTCCTGGCAGGTTGCTCTGAGGTCTCTACACCTCTTAGTTAGTCATTTTGGAATGGATTTCTTGATCCATATGCCCTTAAGATTGGATATCTGGAAAGGGGATAATTTTTTTCCAGTAGTCAGGGCTTATGTATAATTGTAAGATGATCTATTGTCTAATATGTCCAAGTGTCTTTGTAGTGGAAACATGACTGGGGCTTTAGCATTCTACCAAAGTGCATGTTTTTAGCTCTGGATAGTTTGCTGTTCTTTACTTGTTGGATGGATGTGGATGTGTAAATGGGATTGAAATGGGTTTGATTATATAAAGTTGTCTGTCTCACCTGACTCCCTCAAAAGTATGGGGCTCTTCCATCTGAATGCAGTTCTGTGCTCAAGCAGGTGGGGTATGTTGTCAGGAAAAGAGCTGTGTGCCTGCTCACCTGTGTCAGTTTAAGCACCTCTCAGGGCTGCTCTTGGTTTTCACATAGTCAGTTCTTACTCTTGACTATGAATTCCTTGAACTAACAGGGCTGTTCTACTAATATATATATATATATCTGTGTTCTGTTTTCCAGCTGGATGAAGCTGTGGCTGCTGCTCATCTGGACAAACTGAGTGTGAAGCTGACAAAGTTGAGTGACAAGCAGGCCAAATACCTGGGCCTCTCCAGAGATGGGCCCTTCAAGCCAGATCACTACAGATACTGAGCAAGTGTCACTACCCAAAGACCAAAGCGCAGGGATACAACCTTCCAAAGCTCCGGTGTGTGCTGGGCTTCTGTGGACAAGCCCTTTGCCATATTCCTCAGTGCTGCACATCCCCTCCCCTTACCAAAGGAGCTTCAGGGCCTTGTTAGTGGAAGAGGATCACTGACTCCTGGAATTAGAGCTGGTCACAGAGAAAAGGATCCTATGCGCCTTTTATTGGCTTCTAATGTGCCAGTAAGCGGAGCAGGACAGAAGATGGCTAAATGAAAAGGTCTAGTCTTGTCATACAAGTGGCTGAAGCCTCTTTGAACAGACTAACTAGCCAGGTGTGGAATGGTTTCTGCAGGGAGATGCTTTCTGCCATGCCCTGCTCCACTCAGATGAGTCCTGTCAGGCCTCTCTCCACAGCAGTGCCCAAGCTGAAGTGCATATTGTGAAACTGGAGGAAATAAGGAAGATATAGGTTGCTTGGTCTCTTTCCTGTAAAATCCGCTTAACCTCCTACCTAAAGATGGAAATTTTGTCTGGGTTAATTTGGTCCACTGGTTTTAGTCAGAACAAAGTCCCTTCTGTGCTCTTTCCATACAAACCTGAGGAGGGGTGAAGCAAGAGAGACTTTTCAGTAGCCATCTAGTGTGTTGTGAAGGGCTGAGAAGCCACTGAGGGGATGGTTGGGTTTAGGGACCTTGTTTGATCCTCTGCAAACACCAGCAGCACTCTGCTACCCCCAACTTGATTCTTCTGACTTGTCATGTCACTGTATCTTGTTTGTCAATGACTCCAAGTGCTTTTATTAAAGATCTGACTGTGGCCTGACCTGTTTTGTGTGGTGAAATGCTCTGGGGTTTGCCATAGGTTTGGTTACCTTTGTGTGATCCTTGAACTACTGAAAATATTTGATGTATCCATGTGGTGTGTCCTCAAGGCAAAAGCCTTGTGTGGCTGGTCTGCATCTTGTGCTGGAGCAGGGAAAAGATCCTCCTCAGGTCATGGAAATATTTGAGGGACTGAATCTTGCAGGAAAGTTGCTTTTCCCTTGCCCACATAGATTTATTTGCATGTATGTCGTGGAAGCTCTTGCCACTGTCCTCTTCAGTCACAAGCCACCTCTGTTTCTGCGTGTAAGAAAACGAAAGGTTTGGGATGATGTTACAAAATGCGTGAAGTTCTCAGATATTCATGCACAGCCTCAGGTGTGATGTCAGTGAGCTATTAAAACATGGTGTAGAGTGTGAACTGTTGGAGGAGGGAACAAGGGGATGAGGAAACAAGGTGTTGCTCAGTATGTACCTTTTGGCTTTGCTTTGGTTTGCATTGATGTCTAAAAAGCACCAATTTCAACTGAATTTAGGGGTCCCACAGAGCCCATAAATGATTCCATAAGTCCTTTAAAGCTGCATATAGACTGAGCTCCACGGCAACACAGATGCACAGTTGCAGTACACATCTACATACAGGTGATGGTCACCTTGTGCGTGTGACACAGAATACCAGTGATGGGAAATGTCACTGTAGTGGAACAAATGCAACAAAAGCAAGGACTGGGTTGTGTCCTTGTTCATTGGTTTCCTCTGCTTGGGCTTTGGCTTCTCAACCTGTTTCTTAGCTGAATATCTCTGATGCTGAAGTTCAAGGTTGCAATTCTGCTGTTGGATTGTGGGTTCATAAAATTTAGTTAGGAAGGGTCAGCTGAAGGTTTCTGGTTCGTTCCTGTCTTCGTACTAGGGCCAGTTCCATTAGGCTGGAGATGAGCTTGCCTAAGTGAGTTTCAGTTGTCTCTGAGGGCAAAATCAGGTTGGAAGATGACCACGGTGGGTCACTGGTCCCACCTCCTTGCTCCAGCAGGGCCAGCCCAGAGCACATGGCTCAAGATTGTGTCCAGAAGGTTCTGAAACATTTCCAGTGAGGAAGAATCCATGAACTGTCTTTGCAACCTGTTCAGTGCTCAGTGACTGCACAGGGAAGAAGTTCTTCCTCATATTCAGGTGGAACTTCCCGGGCACCAGTTTTTGCTGTTACCTCTTGTTTTATTGGTTTCCACAACTGAGCAGAGCCTGATCATCCTCTTGGCACTTCCTGCTCATGTACTTGAATACATTGATGAGGTCTCCCTCAGTCGTCTCTCCCTGAGGCTGAACAGCCCCAACTCCCTCAGCCTTTCCTCATCACTGAGGTGCTCCAGTCTCTTCAGCATCTTCCTTGCCTTCCGCTGGTCCTGCTCCAGGAGCTCCATGTCCCTCTTGTCCTGAGGAGCCCAGAACTGGACACAATACTCCAGGTGTGGCCTCATGAGAGCTGAGCAGAGGGACAGGATCACCTCCCTGACCTGCTGGCAATGCTCTTCTTAATGTATCCCAGATTCCATTGGCCTTCTTGGTCCCCAGGGCACACTGCTGGTCAGGGACAGCCTGTTGCCCACCAGGACACCAAGGTCCTTCTCCTTGGAGCGGCTGTCCAGCGGGTCAGTGCCCAACCTGTACCCATGCTCAGGGTTATTCCTCCCCAGGTGTAGGACCTGCACTTGCCACATTGAATTTCAGCTGGTTCTTCTTTGCCCATCTCTCCATCATCACCACCTGAGGTTTCTCTCCCAATACATGACCCTCTAGATGAAAACACGTTTCTGTATGTTTACCTGGAATTTCCTGTGTTGCAGCCTTTGCTGGTTGCTTCTCATTTCATCCCTCTGCACCTCTGGTAAGGGGCTAGTTCCATCTTGACTACATGCTAGCATTAGGTTGTCACAGGCAGCAATAAATCCCTCTTTACCTTCTCCAGGTTGACTAAACCCTGGTCTTGGTCTCCTTGTGTGTCCCATGCTCCAGTCCCCTATGGAGGGGTCTCTTTCAGGTGGCTGCTCTCAGGTATGTCAATGTTGTCATCATACTGGGGAGCCAAAGCTGGATGCAGATGTTCTTAAAGTGCCAAACAGCAAATGGATCCCTGGTCTTGACCTGCTACCTCCATTTGTCCTGGTACAACTCCAGATAAAGCTCCAGAAGCAAGATTGGTTTCTTCACTGCATGAGCAGTCAAGGACCTTACACTTGGCAGTCTTTGGGAGAAAGGCTGCCTTTGCCTTCCCGTCTTCAACCAGTTTTGTTTGCAGCTCTTTGAGTACCAGATGCAGTACTCCCTTAGTTGGCTCACTGACCACCTGTATCAAGAAATTGGCCTTGATGAATTCTGTAACTCCTGGATTGTTTGAGCACAAACCTACTGCCCTTCCAGCAGATGTTGGAGTGGCAGAGATGAAATCTGCCAGGGTTTGCTTTTTCCAGTTATCTTATTTCCAGCTACTTCCTACTCCACTCAGATGGGTTTGTTTGTCAGTGTGTTGTAACAGTGGGGTTTATTGGGAAGATTTGTCAGGAGTTTTTGAGTGAGGCCTAGCAACCAATAGTTGTGTGCTAGTGATGTTTTGTTGTCTTTTTGTAGTGGGCCAGCACACCTTCATTTTCCATGATTGGTTGTCCTTTTGTCCATTGCAGGTTGTTTGCACAATTCATGTGTTTAGCATGTAGCAAAATCTATTTGTGTGTCTATATATGTATATATGTTTAGTTCTTCTTGGAAGACTTGAGGCCCTGTGTTTGTTTGGCAGACATTATGCTCAGGGCTAGCAGCTCCTGAGTTTCAGGAGGTATTTCTAGTAAGAGATTATGGGCGCAAAACTATGTCTGGAGGAGATCTTTATGTCCTGTTCAAACTCCTGAGGCTTTAAATACATGAAATCTCTGATTTGCATATAGAATCATGAAGTGTACAGTCACACAGCAGCATGACCAGGTCTGAAACATCTCATCTGCTTTGGTAGTGCCAGGGCACTAAATCACTACTGTCAGAAGGAGGAGAACTGTCCAGTGACTTCCTAGCAGAGCATTTTTCATTGACCAACCTCCTGTTAATCTGATGTACTGCAGTACTACTGTGAACAAGTTGACAATGTGGGATTTTGATGGTTTGAATTGATAAAACACAGAATTTATATTTGGAATATCCTCTGCTAGATCCTCTCTTTATTTTTGTTGTTGTTGAAGAAGACTAGATCAAACACAGATGCTAATGAAACCATTGGTAGAGTTTCTGCTGCTCCCTCCGAGTCACTGCAGTGAGTTGTGGTTTGGTGCTGGCTGCAGCAGTGCTGTGCCCAGTACCTGTCAGCAGTGTGGTTTTGTGGCCTCCTCTGGCCTTGCTCCAACAGTTCCATGTCCTTCTGATGTTGGGGACACCAGAACTGTGTGCAGCACTCCAGGTGGGACCTCAGCAGAGCAGAGCAGAGGGGGAGAACCCCCTCCCTCCCCTGCTGCCACACTCCCGTGGATGCAATAACCTGCTGTAAAACTGATTTCATGTTGTGTTTTGCTATTCACATTGCAGATTTCTCTGGCCTTGCTCCAACAGTTCCATGTCCTTCTGATGTTGGGGACACCAGAACTGTGTGCAGCACTCCAGGTGGGACCTCAGCAGAGCAGAGCAGAGGGGGAGAACCCCCTCCCTCCCCTGCTGCCACACTCCCGTGGATGCAATAACCTGCTGTAAAACTGATTTCATGTTGTGTTTTGCTATTCACATTGCAGATTTGAAGAT